GCAGCCGGCTCCGGCGCTTTCCTTATATACGGGGCTGCCCCGGGCCGGCGGCCGGGAAACGCGCCGAGCGGGGGATGCTTTTGCCGGGCTCCCTCCTACGCGCCGGCTGCTTTGCACTTCTGAAAGTGCCGGGGCTTGGGAAGTGTTTTCCTTTTCATTCCTGGCCGGAGCGTTTACTGCCACGGCGCTAGCAGTCATAAATTTTGTTACAAACCGCAATGACAGGTGCATTGATATGCACCCTGAGAGCTCCGGCTGCTTTAATAACCGCTCCGCTGGCCGCTCTCACCGCCTCTTATTTATTCGGTATCATATTAGATATTGATCCTAAGCAGAATTAAGTGTAGTGGAAGTTTTAGTAGAGAACTGCTTAATACGAAACTGTCGGGAGGAAAGCGACTGGCAGTGCCGGGCCAGTGTCAGCGTGGGCTGGCCACGCTCCGCGCACACGCGCGGGTGGACGCGTGGGCTCCCGGCTGCGCCCCAGATAGAGCCGTGAGATGGTCGGTAACCTCCAAAAGCGCTGGAACCAGTGGCAGGACAAAAAGCCCCATTATCGTGTGCAATGCCGAACAGTTCAGATGAGGTTAACCTTTCTGGGGAGGAGGAAGGGAAATCTGAAACACAGACACGGATACTTTGCGGTTTCCTACCCTCGGTGCCTCAGAGCCCACCTCCCACGGCTCGGCCTCACCATTTGGATGTCACTTCTTTCTTTCTTTTTTTTCTTTTTTCTTCCTTGGAGGCTGTTTCTGGCCAAACCACCAAGTGTTGAGTCCCTGCTTTGGTGTTACCTATAAAAACATCACCCCGGGCCTTGCACTCGTGGAAAATCAAACCCTGGAAAGGTCTCCCTCTCCCTCTTTCTTTCCCTCTCTCTCTTTTTAAGATCTAAAGATGAGCCACCAAACAGTTGAGCATTGTCCATGTGATTTATGGCCCATAGCCTCCTTTTTAGGTTCAAGCAGAGTTCACAAGCAGTTGGTATTTCAGAAAAGAAATAAGGCCTTTAACAGCTTAACAGCAATATTCTTTCTTAAGATTCTGCGTATTCTTTTGGGAACTATATTTTACGAGGCACATAAAAGCCTACGCTTAAGGCGGTGTTGTGCTAACAAAAGTCCTCAGTCCAGACCGCTCCCGAAAACGTAGACGATAGAAGCAGAGAAACGAGCGACAGAGTTGTTTTGCACAAAAATACTTTCAAGATTCGTTGAAATTATCACAACGTATTTTAACTCATCTGAATTGCCACCGTCTATTTCCATAGACTTTTTTTTGCCAAAATTTTCCAGAAGAGGAAAATAGCTCTTTCCACATTTCCATCAGCTTCGCAGATATTCCCAAGCTTTTGTTCAGGGAAGAAAAGGACCCCGGCCGTTTGTGACAGGGGATAAACCGCCAGGAACGGCCGCGGATCGCAGCTCGCTGAGGTTATTCCGAGAACAGATCAGCGGTACTTCGCCGGTACCAACTGCTGAGGGAGAAAGAGCAATAGTCCGGTAGTATAGCTTAAGTACAGGCTGGAAGAATGAGACTTATCGAACACCATTCAGAAATTTCTAGCTACTCTTCTCTGGTATGTTAATAAGCTTAAACTCTGAAGAAAGACAATTAACTCTTAAGATACGTTGAGTTACAGACATACATTGCCGGGTGAAGTATGTGCTAATTTACAAAATCGCAAAAAATGTCGGAGAAAATCCCTGTCCGACAAGAAAAATAGAAACAGGCATATTAAAAAGCCGCAACAAAATGCACGACGGTTTCTATCTTGCAACAAGCGGAAGATAGAAAGTTTCGGGAGCAACGAGGGGAAAGGAAACAGCACCCTGTCCCCAAACGCCTGCCCGAAGGGGACTCGGGGCTGTCTGTGCGTTTTCCGTCTGAGCAGCCGGATCGGGGGGCCAAGGGGGCGGGGAGGGGAGCGCCGTAAGTCTGCAGGCAGGAAAAAGAAAGGAAACCCCTAAAAATGATCTCCAATGTCTCAGGTTCTTTCTACTGGGGAGAAATAAAAAGGACGAGAAACGTCGGCTGAGGGATTTTAATTCATCACAGAATTAAAATAGGGGAGCTGACCTGCGACTTCCTTTATAGTGCAAAGTGAAGGGAGTGAATGGCGCCGGTTACACTTTAACTCCGGAGGAATCCGGGGGAAGAAGGAGGCCGGGTTTACAAAGGGGACGGGATTTCCCTGCCTCTGCCCGGCCGCGGCCCGGGCTCAATCCATCATGTCAGCCCTGCGCGGTCGTGCGCACGCGTG